GCAATTGTCACCAAATGCATGATGCACAGGGCCTGTGGCTTGGCAAACCCGGACTCTCCGTGCATGAAAGATGGCGAATGCTCGAAAGGTTTTCCCAAGCAGTACCAGAATGACACGGTTATCAGTAACGACAGTTACCCCAAATATCGCCGTCGAAATGACGGTCACACCGTCATGAACGGAGGCGTTCAGCTTGACAATCGTCATGTTGTACCTTACAATCCATACCTCCTGCTACGCTTCGAGGCACATATCAATTTGGAAGTTTGTGCTTGGTTCAACGTGGTGAAGTACCTCTTCAAGTACTGCTACAAAGGAACCGACCGAGCACGAGTTTGTCTCCAGATGGGAGTGAACGGCCAGAATCTGAACGGAAATCCAAACAACCCTGCTGATGCAAATCCAGTAGTCGACGAGATCAAACAGTTCATCGATGCCCGTTTTGTCGGGCCCAACGAAGCAGTCCACCGCATGTTGGGGATGAAAATGGACAAAAAGAGCGATGTGGTGATCTCACTGATCGTTCATCTCGAAGACTACCAACCGATCGTTTACGATGTTAATCGTGCGAACGATGCGTTGGTTAATGCCGAACTGAAAGATACGACCCTGACCGCGTGGTTTGACAAGAACAAACAAATTCGTGAAATGGAGGAAGAACTTGGTGCTTTGCCAGCGGGTATCCTCGACACTCGAACCATTTACTACGTTGAAATGCCTGAATTCTACACCTTCCCACCATCTAGCAAAAAATGGAATCAGCGCAAGCGCGTCACGGAACGTACCATCGGACGCATTCACAATGTCTCGCCTAAAGACCACGAAGCTTACGCATTGCGAGTGCTACTACTCTATCGCAAAGGCATCGAAAGCTTCGAAGACATGCGCACGATCAACGGTGTTGTCCACCCGACTTATGTGGAGGCAGCCCGGGCAGCCGGGTACCTTCAGGACGATGGACATAACCGACGATCAATGCAAGAAGCCGCAAACTACCAAATGCCGGACCAATTGCGCAGCTTTTTTGCGATGCTTTTGGTATACTGCGAAATGTCTGACGGAGTTGCACTCTGGAACGAATTCAAAGACGACCTAATGGCTGATTACGTCCATCGAGGCTTACCACTGAACGTATGCGAGTCGAAAGCCTATTGGGACCTTGGCGACAAACTAACTTTCCAAGGTCTGGACATTAACAAGGTTCTTGGGCTAAACATTCCACAAATCAACGGCCACGATGCACCAATTGACACAGAAGCTCATCGGCTTGCCGGAGAAGCAATGTACGCGCAGCTGAATGGAGAACAGGAAGAAGTAGCTAAAGCTGTACTCGAAGCCATTGAAAATCCACAAGGCCAATGTTACTTCATTGACGGACCAGGTGGAAGTGGAAAGACTTTTGTCTACACTTGCATCAACCATCTTGCAACCTCAAAAGGCAAAAAAGTGGACTGTGTCGCATGGACCGGAATCGCTGCCAATTTGCTTCCAGGGGAAAGAACAGTCAATGCGACATTCAAATTGAATGTCAAGCAGGATAATAAGATCAGCACCATGAAGCGACAATCCAAAGAAGCCCGTCTTCTGGCAGCAACGGATGTCTTCATTTGGGATGAAGCTCCAATGGCTCCAAGTCATGCACTCGAGGCGGTTGACGCTCTCCTGAAAGACATCATGCAAAATGACCTTCGATTCGGGGGAAAGATCTTCCTCCTTGGAGGGGATTTCCGCCAAGTCCTACCAGTTGTCGAACGTGGCGGTCGAGGCGATCAAGTGGCTGTCTGCCTCCGCCGATCCACAATTTGGCCAGAATTCGTACAATTCACCCTAACCCATAATATGCGGGTCCAAGGGGATGATAACGACTGGAAAGAATGGGTTCTAAAAGTCGGTAACGACGAAATCCCAAAAGATGCCGATCAGAACATTGAAGTACCCCCAGAAATCCGCAGCAACGGTGACTTGGTGGAAGAAATCTTCGGACCTATCATCAGAAATGGTGGAGAATTGGCAGATGCGGCCATTTTATGCCCGAAAAATCAGCAAGCCCTTGAAACCAACAACAATGTGCTAGAAATGCTTCCCGGCGAGCTCCAACTAGCCAGAAGCATTGATGAGGCCATCACCACTGATCCGCGAGACTCTTACCATTTCACCACCGAACTTATGAATTCGATGACCCCGACAGGCCTCCCGCCTCACGAGTTATTTTTGAAAGTTGGAGCCATTGTCATGCTACTGCGAAATCTGGACGTGCAAAATGGACTGTGCAACGGCACTCGCCTAATCATTGAACAGATTCAAACCCGGGTCCTGCTTTGCCGTTTCGCAACGGGTTCCCGCAAAGGAAAACAAGTCTTGATCCCTCGAATTGACTGTCAGTACGAAAAAAACCTCCCCTTCACGCTGAAACGACGCCAATTTCCCATCAGGCTTAGTTTCGCCATGACCATTAATAAAAGTCAGGGGCAGTCATTCGATCGGGTCGGCCTCGACCTGAGCACCCCGATTTTCTCGCATGGGCAGGCGTACGTCGCCATCTCGCGATGCAAGTCACGCGATGGGGTGAGGATCTTGGCGGCCAGCGACAAGATGGCCAATGTCGTCTACAGGGAAGTCCTCGCGGACTAGCCCTCTCTCCTTTTCGTCTCTCCCGCCCTGTTGGCTTCTCCGTAGTGCCAACTGATTGATGCCGCCATTCCCCCAAGGTAGGGTTTGAAAATTTGTGCTGATCGTCTCCCTTCAGAAGAGCCTCCGATCTCTTCGCTTCCTACCATCTGCTTCCCACCTGTCCTCCAGCCAAGAAGCTTGCCCAGCCACTCGATCGTCTACTCGCCCCTGCCCCCCACATCCTACCACCGATACATATCTCTGTCCCCCCGTCATTCTTTCTTCCTACACAATTTCCTGTCGTTGTATGATAAATCTTTCTTTCTATACAAGGTCCATCCACTGGGAATTAAACTATTTCTTACAGTGCGACGCTTATATAGGGCTTAGACGGGGGCCAGGGTTGATTCGGCGGCTACGCCTGCCTAAATAAATATATATAAAATATATAAAAAATATATTTTATATATATAAAAAAAATGAAAATTATAAATATATAAAATTATATATATAAAAAAAACACTATATATAAAAAAATAGTGTTTGTGTGTGTGTGTGCATTTGCATGCAACTTCCGTCAGGGTGTCCAGAGGATATCTCGAGAGGAGATGGGTTTGAGGAGGTGTTTGATAAGTCATTAGATGCGTAATGGACTGGAGATGACTGCACTCACGAAGTCCAATACGTAAAAAGTATTGCCGCGTCGTTCCGCCTCGGCTACAAACTACAATCGAAAAGTCTCATTATTCCGTTTCCTTACAAGTTTCGTAGTGTTTTTTTTATTGTTTTTCGAGCTGTTTTCGGTGTGAATTTTGACATACAATTTTTCAATATTTATTATCAAAACCAGAAACATGAAACGTTGGACACAGACACAGACCATTGGACCAGTAGAGGGATGGGGGTTTGGGGAGGGGAGGGTGGGTGACAATAATATAACCAAATGTATAAAAACACATTTGCAAGCTATCCGCATGACTACTGTAGACACCGTATCAATGTGGGGGATGGTGAACACGGAGATGGGGGAACAAGTCTTTAGAGAGTTTTTGCGCTACGCTAAATGCTAAACGACAAAAATAACGAAAAGAAAATCACAGGACACTGTATTTTTCTGTCGAGAGTAAAAACGGAAAAGCGTATCGATTTCAGGTTTTGTAACTGCTTTTGTGTGCTGGGGTGACTAGAAATGGAGAATTTACAAGGTTTGGGCGTACAGAAAACCAAGAAAATTGTAGTTTGTAATCTGGACGCTATCGATTCTTTTTGAAGGTTTTAAAAGTTGCTCTACAAACCACAAACTACAAAACGGCCTTTACTAGTCGTGAAGGCCGGATATGCCGCAGTAAAATCACAAAAATTGCGTGTGGGGGCCCTCCTGTAAGTTCGTGGGGGTGGATATGGGCTTTTCTACTTGTATTTGACAGGTCTACGGTGTACAGAGGATTGTAACGTAGGCTCGAGAACACTTCGTGGGGCTCCGGGGGCTATCTGTGAGATCTGAATATTGTGGACAACCAGAGACTGCGGACACGGTACGTAGGGGAGGAGGTGTTGGGTGGAAAATTGCGGAAAAGCTTGGAAATGGCCGGAAATAGTGGATGTTTGGGATTAAAACAATTATATCCTACTATATATAAAAAAGTAGTGTTTGTGTGTTGTGTGTGTGTGTGTGCCACTTTGCATCCACTTCCGTCTGTCTGTCCGGAGGATATCTCAAGAAGGGACGGGTATTGGGCTACGTATGATACGTCATTAGGTGCGTAATGGTCTAGGGATGACTGCACACATATCAGATTTTTAAAAATTAGCCATTTTCGCTATTAAATTTAGGTTTTTGTAAAAACATCTTTGTTAGGAATAATTAGCATACACCGGAAGTGGGCCGTCGTCTATATAAAGAGGCAGAAAGGGTTGTTTTTCATTTTTTTTTTTTTTTTTGGAATGGAGGACAATTATGCAAAGGGCAGAATAGTATGGGGTCCGAGACGGGCCAGGGTTGAAAAGTCGTGAAGCGGCGTTTCAACCCTGGTAACCTAAGAAAAACATTATTAAACTTATTTTCGATCATTAAAAACCAAAATCCATAAGCAAATGTTGAAATTAAAAAGTATAGCTTTGTTAATAGAAATTGCCATTATTGACTTGTTTCCCAGCCTGTTTTTTAAAAGATATTAAAGTTTTCTACGTAGTTCCAGCGCTTTACAAGCTTTCCTCGATTTCCCCACAGTTTTCCAGAACAACGAATAGCAATAAATACATCGGAATGGCAACGTTTTTTTTTGTTGTGGGTTGGGTGACGGGTTAGAAGACGTCAAACGCTTAAAAAATATGCAAAAGATGGCGTAAATCAACACAAGTTTTCCAATAAAATTATTGATACATCATCATAAAATCCATGGGGGCGGGGTGCGGATGTCGATACTTTCCGGCGAGGTGTCGCTCGACGAGGGCAACTCCACGGAGTGGGAGCGCTTCTAAAAATGTAAATTTGATGGTTTCGGACAAATTTATAATTATTTTATTTATAATCATTACCGTATGCTTTAATGGTTTAGAATTAAATTTATCGGTCTTCAATCTATGAATTCTTGCCCACCTTGTCGAGCTTGTCCATCTGGTCCCCATCGGGGTTGTAAATCAGCGCCTTGATGTCGTTCATCCGCTGGCTCTGGTCCATTTTGATGAAGCCCGGGCCGGCGATTTTGATTTTGCTGTCCTTGCTGAAGTAGTCCTTCATCTTGTACTCCATCTGCAGATCCGGGGGTGAGAGGGAGCCCTGGAAAAGTGAGCATGAACTCGAGTTTAATTTAATTTATCTCAATTCCGCAAAGAAATCTGTTTGGCACCCATTTGCCTGGCTTCCCGGCCCTCTTAAGCCTAGTCATCTATTGTGACTCCCCAAAGACTTCTGCTCGTTTGTCCTGTTTTTGCTACTTCCCAGCGTCTTTTAAAATGTCTATCCATTCCGCAAAGTTCTCTGCTAAGCACCGATTTGCCTGATTTCCCAGCCCCTTTAAGCCTAGTCAAAATCGAGTGTGACTCCCCAAAGATCTCGGCTTGCGTTTTCTTGACTTCATAACCCCTTTAAAAATATTTCCTCACCTGGCTCTCCACAATGCGCGGGCGGTCAAACGAGTAGTTGTACTCGGTGGGCTCGTATTTCTTCTCCGTGAAGGTTTGATGGTGCACCGGAACGGTTTTTAGAAGATTTGCGGTCTGGAGAGACGGCATTGTCTTCTCGTTCTCCGCGGTTGTTTTCCGGGATCGTTTCCGGGCCGGTTCGCCCTCCTTTGGCGGTGGATTGAGCATCTGCATCGGTGTGGGAGGGGAGATGAAGCACGTTTCGGGGCCGAAACCGAATCCTTCTTCGCTGTCTTCTTCGACGCTGACCAGCTGAAAAGGAGAATAATTGTTAAAGGAAATATCAAAATTTCGTTTGTTATCAGGATATGCCTAAACAGCTCCCTAAATACCGTAAATACCGTACCGTTTCGATGAGTTTATGAGTATAGGTCCTGTCTTCGATGGTTGGCAAGGGAATGCTGGCCCGGATCCGCATCTCCTCATCTTTCCGCCTCTTCTCCTCGTGCATCTGGATGAGACGGTCTTTCAGGGCTTGTTGATCAGCCCTGTTGGCTTCGTCTCGCAGTTCCTGCTGATGGCTAACCGCCATCGTGTTGACGGGGGTGTAGCAGATCTTTTCATACCTAGAAAAATTAAATTTAAAGGTGAATGGAAGCTAAAAATTAGGGTACGGTAGCTAAAATTATATTTTTTTCTTTTATACCAACGAAAACACTTTAAAAGTATGTAGAGGTCGCCAAAATTTTTCATCGCCTACCAGAACTGGCTCATGTCGCAGAACTCGAACAGCTTGCAGACCTGGAAATCGTGGCAATGCTGGTTGCAGATTGTCTGAAAAATTAAATTTGAAAGGGATGCAATAGGATCTTTAAAGGCCGTCATCAAGGAGTTCAAGTAAAAAACTCACCTCAATCTCCGACAGCATCATGAACATGTTGCCCAGCCTCAACCCGGCGTCGACCTCGTCGAGCCCGCGGTTACGGTAGTACTCGTGCAGCCGATTCGTGAACCATTCGCGGCGTTCTTGGAGGACTTTTCGGGTATGGCTCTCGACGTGGATGCTGTCTAAACGGAAAAAAATTGAATTTTGCGTCAAAACATTTTTTTGGAAGTTCAGAAAACCCCCAAAATTTTTCGTAGTTTGCGGTATTCGTAATTTAGCATCGAAATCAACTATCTTCAGAAATTAGTCACTTACCATTTCAGGCGTAATTTAGCATCTAAAAAGGCGGAAAGCCACCAAAGCGCAACCTAGCGTATCCAGACGTCTCCAATTTGCGTAAAAACAGCATATTTATGCAGCGTTGAAATGTAATTTCGTTGTTCCGCGTCGTCAGCGACTCCAAGCAGTCCACTTTCTTTAGTATCGGAGCGTCATTATGTATCCAACCGCACGAGGCATAGTAAACATTATTTTACGAATAGCTTTATGTAGCTGCGTAACTATGCGTACTCAAAAAGCGCAAAAGGTATTTTTTAAACATTTGCCGTATTTTCGTAACCAAACGTACTCAGCGGACTCCACAAGAGTTGTCCGTGCAGGAAGACGACCTCGGCGTCGATAATCTCCATGTTGTTGAAAGGGATGATGACGGTACGCCACATACGGTCGTACGTGGGGCGGAAGATTCTAGAAAAAACCATTTTAAACCGATTTTTTTAATGGAGTATGGCAGCTGAGCTTTCAATACTTACTGTTGCTTGGCTTTGACCTGCTTCTCGTCGTCGGTTTTTAGCTCGAATCCGGTACGGCCGTCCGGGACGAAGGTGTTATTTAGCATGCAAAAGTTGCGGGGGACGAGTTCGGTCTGGAAATTATCGGGTTTAAAGGGAGCGTAATAGCTTGGTAATGTGACAAAGCAACCTAAAGCTCTCCCAAGCCTTTTAAGCTTCTGAAGCTTCTGAAGCTTCTTAAGATTCGTAAGCTACGAAATTCATAAGAGTGCCTACCTTATGCTGTGAAGCGTAGTAAAAGTGGTCCAAACTGAGTTTTCGCACCGAGAAACGCTTCATCAGGGCTTGCTAAAAAGATGAAATTATGCACCGAAACGAGCTGAACTGCTCGAACTTGTTGGAATGAGAGTCGGCTAAGAGCTTCGGCCTAAAATCGATTTGCTTACCCGGTCCGGTTCCGGCAGCAAGGGATAGGGCGTCATTTTGTTCAGCCAGTACATGAGACCGGCCAGCTCGGCCTTGCTGAGATTCTCGACGTCGTCGGGGACCATGGCGCGGCGCTATAAAAATCTTGTTGAGAGAGAGAGAGAGAGCGCGAGAGATAGAGAGAGAGAGAGCAAAACAGAAAGAGAGCAAGAAATTTTCGTACCTGCTTCGGCTTCAAGAATTCCTCAGCGGACAGCATATTCAACCTCATATGTTCCACATGTTCGCGGTAACAGATGAGGAGCCTGAAATACTTTTAATTATAATTAGTAAAAAATTTTATAATTAGTAAAAAGCGTTTTAGATGGCTTCCTAATACCTTTAAAAGCCATAAAATTACCTTCCACTTTAAACAATATTCTATTAGCCCCTATTATCTGCCAAAAACCAGGCAATTTCTCTACTTCCCGGTCCGCATCACCCCTATTCACATTATATTCTGCATTCTTTCAGCGTCGCCTGGACAAATCCGCCATTTCTCTCTCTATCTCGCTCTCTTTCTAGCGCGCTCTCCAGGGAGAACATCTCCATTTCCTCTGCCTAATGAGCCGGCGAAGGCGGAACACAAGCACAAAAAGTAATGGCAAGACGAGCAGAAAATTTTCTAGCCGCAAATTGGCTTCATTGAGAGGAAAGAGGGTATCGGATAGAACGCACCCAGACGGTTTTTATGATAGAAATAACGGATTAGTTGTTTGGAAAAAAATTGCGATAGATTTTAGGTAATTTGAAGGTACGTTGAAGTCAAAAGTTTTAGCGAGGAAACAGATTCGGTTTAATTTCCTCACCTTCCAGGCTTCTGAAAGGTATTGCAAACTCATGACTATAAAGAGGCAAATCACTCGAAAGTTAAAATTTGCAAGAATAGCCAAAATTTGAGGAGATTTCCGAGGAGCTAGGAAAGATTCTTAGGGAATGGAATTTTCGGGGTTTTTCAACAACATCCTTTCCTTTCCCATACTACAAAGCTATCCTTTAAAAAAAATTTTCCTGGTCTGCCTAGTTTCCATATTTTCCCTCCTTTATCCTCCTTTATCCTCCTAGATTCCTTGCTCGATTTCCCTTCGATTCCCCGGATTTCCATAAACGTCCCTCCCCAGCGGCTAGATTGCAGAAGGCCCCCGCCCCCGGGGGATAATAGCTACTCACCCAGATGTGCCCATCGCTACGCAAGGCTACTTTTTACTAACGGACCTCTTCTCTCTCTGCCTCTCTGCTTCCCTCTCTTTCAGTCTCGCTCTCTCTCTCTATCGCTCTCTCTCTCCCATTCTACTCTCTTTCTCTAACCCCTCCGAGCCTCTCACCCTTTCTTCCGGACACCAAAACACAGGTCCTGTTGCTCTTTTCGGCGCCGTGGGGCACGAAAATCACATGTGAGGCGGCCTGCCGAAAAAGGTAGATGAGGGCCAGAGAGAGAGAGAGGGGAGAGAGAGAGAGAGAAAGCGTGCCGGAAAAGTGACAGATATAGATAAGTGACCTCAGAGTCCAATTATTGCTCCCTTCGGCGATATTGGTGGTCAAAACAAAGAAAAAGGAAGCCATAGGCGATACGAGCGTTTTCAGGAGCTACGCGGAATTCAGAAATTGCAAAAAAATAAAGCCGGTTGTAATTTGTTGCCGAATCGGTAGAGGCGAGATTACGGTAGCTTGGGCGTATTTTATGGGGCAGCCAATTACGCTAAGGGGAGCTATTTTGTATTCCAGTAGCTTCACAAAAAGACAATGATCATGGGGATATGGATTATGGTAACAGCTAGCCTATTTCCGTAAGAATATAAAAGTAATTTTCAACGCCTAACTACTCGGTGGAAGAGATTACGGTAGTCAAAGCTCTTGAAAGAAAAATACGATGCGGAAAAATTCAGAAAAAAGCAGGGAGGAGAATAAGTTTTTCTCACGAATTTTGGACCTACCGTACTCAAAAACCCAACTAATAGAATTTACTCACCGCTCGAACACTTCAGATGGGTCCATCTGGGCTTCGTCGAACAGGTCGTCCTCGGTGAGTTGCTGAAAATACGGAGAATTTTAATGATCCCCTTTCATTTGTAATTTGGCTTTTTAAAGGTGTAGTAAAGCGAGAACTTAGAGGAGTAAAAGATATAAAACATCTATTTAGGGGAGGAAATCAGAAAAAACTGTATAACCAGTCGGATTTAGGCAATTTGGGGCAAAGTCTTAGGGCTTCCAGGTGCTTTTCCTTTGTAGATTTTCCCATAAAAACTTTGGAACTTCCAAAAAAAATTGAGCATAATTCGGCTATAAAAATTGCAATTAAGACAAAAACGGAATCAGAAAAACCAATTTGAATTGTGGTCTCCCTTGCAAAAACCTAAACAGGAATCCGACTAATTGAAGCAAAACGTTATTAAACTAAAAATATAACAAAAAATTATCAAGGTTTAATTTAATTTATGTTAAATTTAAAAAAACGTGGTGCTGCCGAAATTTTGCAAAATTTTCAATTTTGCGTGACTCCCTCAAGGTTTCCCGCCATAATTTTCTCGCCTCCTCCTCCCTCATCTCGGCCAAATTCCCAGCCAACTTTTTGCCCGGTGGTACTTCTCAAGAAAAACCCTATCTCTCTGTCTATCTTTCTCCCAGTTCCTACTCTCTCTCCCTCCCTTTCTCTCGCTCGTCAGCTAGACATTTATTTTCCGGCGTTCACCTCGTCTATACGCTTATCGCAGAGATGGCAACAGGTTCGCGGGGGTCGCCGGGCGTTTTTAGCAGCAAAATGGAACGGTACCAGCGTAACTCGTGGTGTGAGTAAAACACGGGATGACAGTTTGAACGTGAGAACCCAAAGAATACGGGGCAGGGTACGGTAGCCGGGTTGCCGTTTGGGGAGCTACAATTCAGAGGAGCAACTGGGTAAGACAGAGCTACAAAAGTGGTGCATGGGGTTTTGAGACGAGCGTTGGAACTACCGTAATCCACGAAAATTTTCGAAAAAATTTAAAGTTTAAAAAATAGCTACAGTACCTACTATATCTTTGAAGCCTGCGTATAAGAAAAAAACAGAAATGGCAATTAAATGCTGCTAGAATTTTGTAAAAATTCAAAATATTGATCTGCAAATCAGACAGCGTGGAAAAACTAAATTCCAATTATTAGGCGCGTCCGTTTGCATGGATTTTGGAGTCTATGCGATGGCTCCCTGATCACCCCCGCCTCGTTAACTCCTGTTTTTTGAACTTTCACTTTATCGGGGAGCGGCTGCGAAATTGAAAAATATCGGGTTACTGCAGCTCTCCTGGGCTATGATGCGAATTTTACGGGTTTTATTTTGCCTAGCGATCAATTTTCTCGAAAAATAAAGATATCGAGTCATCTTCAGAGAGTCATGGACTCAGTAATAAGAAGCGATAAAAAGGGAAAATCAAACTCTTTCAGGTCTAGAATCCAGGTTAATGCAGCCGTCCGAGCTGGTGAACGCGTATTTTGGCACATTGCGTAAGTTTTCGATACCTGAATATGGAAAAGGCAGCTTCTGACACTTCCCAGCCCCCTTAAAGGGATGGTGCGACCAAAAAAGGCCTTTAAACGTTCGAAGGTCTTTTGAATTCAACTTTCTGAGTTTATGAGTTTTAATTAACTTTATAATCAAAAACTTAACCTGTTAAAAAGGCGCGATTTAAGATTGATTTTACATTTTCACTGAAGATATTGATTAGTACTAACCTCCTTTTTTCATTTTTATTCAATCCAATTCCGGTCCCTAATTTCCATCCCAAACCCCTGGTTATGCCTTTCCTTCCTTCTACCATCCCACTTCCATAAGCCGAGCAAGAATCCATCTCAGCCATCAGGAAAACCAGTCCTGCCTTTTCTCTGTCTACCCGTTTCTCGGGTAGCCAGTACGCCCATCTGGGCCGACAAAGGACCCATTCCGTCTGTGCTGGCCATTTCTGCGGGCCGGAATTGACCGAAATGAGCTTCTCCTGGAGGAGCAGACATCAAAATTGAGGCGGATTTCCGAAACGAGACAAAGAACGCCTCCAGACATTCGATTTTAGACGGGATTTGCAACAAGATGGGGGAAGTAATCGGGCGAAAGTGCTCGGCGAGGTCAAAGGGATTGAAATCGAAGGGGTTAAAAACTATTCGAAAAAAACGCTTAGCTTTTAAGATGAGATTTGATGACGATGAGTCAGAAATATCCACAAAATGGCACGATTTTTTTGCTTTAAAAATTTAATAAAACTGAAACCCGATTCTTTTAACTTTCTAAATTTTTTTAGAAAAATCGTGAGGACTTCGAAAACTTGCAAAAGTGTTTTATGACAAATTATATGCAAATAAAACCATTTTAGAAAATTTTTTAATTAAAATATAAAATTCTGGTTGCGAGCGGAAATATTATTTTCTATTTTTAAAGCCTTTCTTTTTATTACTAGTTTTTTATTGAATTTAAAGACACTAAAAATCTTTAAAAAAGACTGGAAGTTACAGTATTTAAAAAGACGCCATTATAGGGGACCAAAAAAAAATAATCCAAAAACAAACCGGCGGCCGCGAAATGCCGAATTCTCGATGCAGCTAATATCGAGTGGGGCCAGGCCGTTGGTGGCCCGGATTCCTAAAAAGCAGAAAAGTGCATAGAATTAATTTTTTTGGGATTTACCAAGCTCTTTTGTAATCCTCGTGATGCAGGTCGAGCACCTCACGAATCGAGCCGGCGTTTTTGTAGCGATTCTCGTTAAATCGCTCGAAAAATGGTTTGCCCTGGAGGAGATCCATCGGGCCATCGTTGGCGAATCTGAAAAACCGAATTTTGATCACGCTTTAAAGGGTCAGAAAAGGGAAAGCTACGCATTTTCTTGGGTATCCTTCATCTTATGACGCGCAACGCGTGTAAAGGATTAAGCTATGGAAAGCTACGCGCGTTGCGTGGCGCGGTCGCCGTAAGACGTAGCTCCAGTTCTCCAACTTTACAGCTGCGAAAAAAGGGAATAAAATCCAATTGGCAAAAATCCCGAAAAGCTGGTTAAAGTTTAGCTCGAAACCTTAAAAATGGTTTTCGATCTATTTTTCGCGGCTTGGGGCTTGCCAAGAGTCTAGAGCGCCTCTATGCATGTGGATTTTGTCTTCCAAGCCCCTTTAAGCACGCCGCTAAAGCTACTTTTTGACTTACTTGACAATCCCATTCGACGCATTATTGATTGGGGGCGGCGGAGACATGACGTACGGCTCGTACTTTTGCTCGGTCGGGCTGTCGGCGGGCTCGATTTTGAATTGCTGAAAATGGACTTTAGATAGGGTCTTAGCGGATACCTTTAAACGGTATTAGTTTATAACATCTGAAGGTGCGTTTTGATAGAATTCCCAAAAAAACCCAGCAAAACCGCCAAAAACTGATTCAAATTCTCGAAATCCGAAAATGTCATGCTTTCGCTCTCAAATTCTGTCGAGTTTTATCTTTTTCGGAAGTTATTACAAATTATCGCTGCCCAGGGTAACCCACGCCTGATTTCCCCAGTCCCGCTCCCGCTTCTGAATCCAATTTTTGTACGCTTTACGATTTGGCCGGAAAGGCCCCGGCTTTTTGCTAAGTTTCGCAACTGCCACCGGATCATCGGCCCCCCGGGGATTTCCGGTGTGTTTTGTTCGGGCCGACTTTTAATCAGCTCAAGGAGGGGCTAGAGAATTCCCCTGGGTGCAAAATTTGCTAAAAGAAGTGCAAAAAATTACGGTAGCAATAGCTGTTATCAAATTTTCAAAAGCCGAGAATGAGAAGAAAAATTGTGCGCAAGCTACGTTTGTACTTTCTATAGTTTGTAGTTCAGGAAAACGGGTCTATAAAATCGTGTGGCAATTTGCATACCATTTCGGGGGAGGAGTCCTCCTCCTCGGATCCCATTCTGCGTTTTCGATCCTTCTGGGAGCCGGTTGGGTCTCGACGCGGCTGGACGGCTAAATCGAGCATTGCAGATTCATTTTTATATTCTAAATTTCATACTTCGACAAGGACAGCTGAAGAGAAAGAGAGTGAGAGAGTGTGGGAGAGCGAGAGATAGAGGGAAAGGAAGAGCTAGGGGAAAATAACCAAGTCAGGACCCATCATAACCTTGCTATTTCCACTCCCCAATCATTATTCCGAATCCCCCTTAAAAGTCTAATTCTTGACCCCTTCATTCCACGACCCCCCTAATTATTTTCCCCCGCTCCCTCATTCCAAAATTCAATAACAGCAACACCAAGGAATTTTCCGGCGTCGAAAAGCCGAAAAAAATAAGCGGCATTGTGTTTGCGGTCCCCTCTTTCCGCCCTTTCATCACACAATCCGGCAAAAAATGGACGGAGATTGGCAGGGTTTGGGGGGGAATCGAATTTTTCATTGACGCTGAAAATGGATTGCTTGTGGTCAGCAATGAGATTTGGGGGGTCAGAGGTGTTGGGAGGAAGGTTCAGCTCCTTCCAAAAACACTGAAAAATTGAGATCAGCGGCTCAAACGCGCTGAGGTCGCGTTGCGTACTACCCGCGACGCGCTCGGTACAGGTGACAACTCTCTTCCCTATTGTTGGGGGTTGAGAGAAAGTGAGGAAGAGAGAGCGAGAGAGAGAAAGCGAAGGAGATCAGATAAATTTCAGTATAGCGACGGCGTTTTCAGTAAACGTCGCGTTGCGTTCAGTTCTTTACGTAACGTGAACGCAACGCACCGCAAATTATTACGCAATATATTAAAAAACGCAAAAGTACTAATATCGACCCACATTCAATTCTCATGCCCGCCTCGATACACTTCTGAAATCGACAGGCCCGGCACGAACACCTGCCCTCCACCGTCACGTCGCATTTCCCAATGTAGCGGCACTCGTAGGTGTTGTACTGAAAAGAACTGGGTTAATTTTTATCTCACTATCACTATTTCTCTCTCTCTATCTCCTCTCCTCGCCTCTCTCTCCTCTCTGTAGATCTGCCGATTTTTTGTAGCCCCGATCCATATTGCCCCTCATCAAGTGACCATTTTTTGCGAACTGATACGAATGCCAAAGGGATCATAGTGGATCAGAATGAGATCAGAATTGAGTCAAGGAGGTTATTGTAGTCAATTTTGGAATTCTTAACCGCAAAAAGTTACGATTACGCTGCGAAAATTGAGCACTAGACTACACGCTATAAAAAGCTGTACGGTCTAGGGAAAGCTAACAAGAAGCGGCAGATTAAAAATTAGTTCCATTTTTCAGCTTTTTCGTTGGGACCTTTCCTTAAAAATTGCAGACTATAAGAAGTTAGTTTAGCAGACCTGGGAAACACTGAGCTACATTTTTCGATTTTTTCGAGCATTCCAGGATTTTCTAAGTTTTCCAACTCTTTAAACGCTCACCGCTTTCCCAAACCGTTCCACTGCCAAATATACCTATTTTTGCAGCCTTCGGTCAGCCTGACTAACCCCCTTCCCCAAGAAAAATAATACTACACAATACCCTCCGGAATTCCACCCCAAAAAGCCACAATGCCCCCTCCCCAGTTCGACTACGCGGGGCTCCAAATGACACGAAGAATAATGGGCGGATCAGCCCAATAAATTCCGGGTGGCTGTCAGTGATCTCCCTCCTGAAAAAACTAACCCCTCGGAAATGGGCGAATGCCCCTTGTTGAATTTATTGGTGCGCTTCCCGGGCGTTCGGTCGGGTTTTGGGTCGAAAAAATAAACAGAAAAAATTACGGCTGACCGGAGGCGGGCTGGAATTTGAAAAAAGGGCACGGTGTGGGCTATGAGAAGGGATATATGACTGATTTTTGATATGGTATATGGCAGAGATCCCTTGGGAAGAGTATAGCATCGAGGGTTGGACTCAAAACTACGAATTCTCAAGCTTCTACTTCAAAGAAATTGTTTTTATAACCTGAAGTTGCTCCTAGACGACGGACTACAGACTACAGAGATTACAAGCCACAAGCTGTCTAAATTCTGCGACTACAAGCTACAAAGTCTATAAATTCAGAAGCTGTAAGCTATAAATTATGTAAATTCAAAGGCTACAAACTCTGTCAAATCAGAGGCTACAACCTACAAACAGTGTAGAAAATAGAAGCTACAAGCAATATTGGAAACATCCAAAACCGACTATAAAATTAGAAGATCCGAACCTTTTTAATTTCTAAGCCACAAATTTGAAAAACCGACGCGCTATAGTCTGTAGTCTGTAGTTTGCTTTGCATTTTATACCATGACGCCCAAAAGCAAACCGGAAAAATAGCTTGACGCTAGACTGCTATTTCTTTTAGCAAAAACCTTCAGAAAAATGGAGTTGTGCTCAATTTGTAGTCCCCCACCCCATAAACCACAAACCCCAGAATCAAGAGACCAAGGAATACGTCAGTGTCTGGATTCTGAGCTTTTGGATTTTGATTTCGATGCGACAAAAGTGGTGTTTTTAATAAAATCTCTGCAGATTTGCGGGGGGATACTGGTGCACTAATGATAGGGTTATGGGCCGCTTTGTCTGATCACCTGTTGGGTGCTAATCAATAACCGGAACCTAGTAGAAAAGTCTAAATGAGGTTCTAAATGCTGTAAAAATTGAATTCGAATTGATTGACTCGGTTAAAAAGATAAGAATTCTTTTTTAAATATTTTACATTCTCGGTTAGTATAAATTTACACTATTCCGCTGAAAACCGGAAAGAAGACATCTCGGCCTGATTCGATTTTAAACTGCATTTTTTCGGGCTCAAAAGCCATTTTCAAGCTGCTCCTCACCTGCTTGTAACTAACAGCTCTCCGGAAGAACGCGTTGCACGATCGGCACGACACCGCTCCATAGTGCAGCCCATCGGCGCCAGCCCCGCACACCGTACAGGCGACGCCGATATATTCCTCTTTCATCTTCTTCATCCTCGTCGTGCTACCGTAGTCGAGGGAGCCGTGCAGGGCGGGCGCAATTTTCGATGCCTAATTTGGGGATGGATTCCTTGTGGACGGTCCGTTGGGGGGCTTGACGTCACAAAACGTCAGTTTCCGCCTCTTTTAGGCTTCAAAATAGCGTTGTCGAAGTGCAGTATGTAATTCTGAGATGATGAAGCCGTCCTGAGGCTCAATTTGACGTCTCCTGATCTTCACGCCTTCCAGAGCCTCTTCAAATGCTCTCCCAAAAAATTCTGCTGCTTTTATCAATCACCCACGATTCGCGCGAGGCGCCCGAACGCGTGCGGCACCTGTAAGAGGGAATGGGTTGTGGTGTCGGGTGGGAATTTGGCCCGGAAACAGGCTGTTAAAAGAGAACATCGGAAATGGAAAAGGTCGAAATCGATGAAATTGAAGAGGAAAGGAAGGAGAGCATAAAAAGTACGGGGTGCACCGAATCTTTGGAATCAGAATGGCATCGAAAAAGCCAAATAAAAATCAGAAAATGCTGCTGTTGGCAGTAGCAGTCCAGCATGGTCCTTTGGGAGCTTTTGAGACAAGTGACAGAAAACTCGGAATTGATTTCTTAGCGGGGTGGCATTTAATTCATGACTGGTGGGGGAACATATCCCCCGCTAAGATTACAATATTAAAAAAATCATCCGATGGCAAGCTGGCATGGATTTCTTAGGAAATTGCGCCAAAAAGAAGGCAGAGTTAATTCTTAAAAGTGTGCCAACTAAAAGAACATCTAAAAAATCCATGCTGACTTGCCAGCAAACCCCACTACGCCAAATTACGATCTCACGGTCCAAGCAACAGTTTTGCGTACGAATTGTGAAACGGGTTTGCCGAACGGGTGTTTTGAAGCCCCGGCGGGTAGCAAATTCCCAGGTGTATGTGGGATTCTATACACCCAAATTATAGAGGGGCTGAAGGGGACAGGGATCAGGAGAAGCAGCTGCTGCTCGGGCCAAATTATGGCCAATTTCGAAATATGGCTGCAGAAAAAAGTCGTATAATTGGGATGTTGTTTGGAGTGGAATGGAAAAGCGGAATATGATAGAAAACAGGTGTTTCGAAATACAATAATGGCGTAAGATCGATAAATAAACATCTTGAGAGCGAAAGAGGGAAAGACAGCGGCATAGAGAGCACGAGAAGGAGCACGATAACGAGAAAGAGAGACCGAGTGAGCACGAGAAATCCTCATAAGGTGAATGAGAGTCTGTGCCGAGAAGAAAGCTCGATGGCGAGGGTAAACGTAGGCAAAGTGAACGAGAGACAGTGAGAGACAGGCAGAGAGAGAGAAAGCGAGAGAGAGCGAGAGATAGGGAAGGAAAAGAGCGTCAGGGAGCCAGTTTTCAGAACGAACGTCATCCATCATAAATTTTCACCAAAATCTCTGTCGTAAACTGGAAAGTTACGGAGTCCCACACGAAAATGTTCCATTTTTAGTGCAAAATCCAGTTTTTGAAGCACCCGAGCGCAAATTGGTCAAATGATTGATCACCCAGATCAATATCTCCGTTTCCAGCAACTCTCAAAAAAAACCCAGCTGCAAAGTGTTGTCCAGCGAATTCAGGCCAGCAAAAAAAAGCAAATTCCAGGCGTCGAAAGAAAATAAAAATAACAAAATGAATCAGCGCCCCCGCCCTGCTAGCCATTTGGGAGGGAGGGGAGGGGCAGAGGGATGGACAAAATATGTATTCTGATGGCAACGCGGGGTTTTGCAGCGAATTCGAAAATGTAGGGTACGGTAGCAGGCGAGGGAGAATAGGGAGAGGCGGAAATGGGGGCCTTATTAGGTGGTGGATAGTGAAAAAATGGGTGGGCGAATTTCCGGTGCGGATTTGGGTTTTGGAAATGGAGCTGATGATAGCTGGAGCGCAGGTAAACCGAGAGAGATACAGAGAAATCGCAGGTGCCAGAGCTCCCAGCTCCTAGCCTCAAGCTCCCTGCTCCCGGCTCGTTAAGGCAAAACAGGAGAAGTCAAGCATAAGAGAGAGAGAGAGAGAGAGAGAGAGAGAGAGAGAAAAGCTACAAAGAAGTCCGAATAGCTCCTAAATCCAGGCTCCCTGCTTCTGGGAGTGGCAAATGAAAGAGAGAGAAAGAGAGAGAGAGAGAGAGAGAGAGAGAGAGATGGATGGGTAAAATTCCAACTTTTGAACTTTTGAACCTAAGCCTCTTCCATACGGTACCGCCGGATTTACATCCCAAAATGAAAGCCCAATTCGCTCCCTCCAGACCCCAAAATCCGATTATCCACAAAAAAGCCCCACCAAAACCCAAAATTGTACATCTCCACCTAACCGGCCGGCTAAAGGGTATACGGTGACAGGAGCCTCCCAACTTTTCCTACGTCGCCGATGAGTTGGCTAATTTCCCGCGAGAATCCGTATCAAGGCCCACCAGGGGTGAATTATATGCCGCTCCCCCTCAGGGTTAATTCGTCTACAGTACCACGGCGGAAGTGGCAGAGAGGGAGAGAGAGAGCGAGAGAGGGAGAGAGCGAGAGAGTGGAGAGAGAGAGCGAGAGAGCGACAAGGGCTGTATTCTGAACCCGAGGTGACATTCGCAATTTCCAGGGGTCTGTGTTTGTGCGCCCCGAGGGCATTTATATACTAGTTCGCCAAATTTTGTAGTGGCCCCCGAATTTCCGACCAAAAAACCGGGGGCCCTTGGAGCCCGCGTGGGCCCGACCTGCAAAAAGGTGTGAGAATGGGGAGACGCAGGTATCCAACGAATTTTGGGGGCGTAAACAGGTGTGGAATGGAGTGGGGAGGAAGTGAAAGAGGCGGGGAGGGGTTTCAGGGGGTCTGACAGTGCATATGTCAAGATACGGTAGATGCAAAATGGAGTAGAACTGGGCTTCCTCAGCTCAAAATTGGCCCTGGCGAGGAACCGAAGTTTTTGACTTCCTAATGCCTTTAAAATACCTAAGATTCTTCTGAGAAACCATGCAAAGTTATGAAACCCAACTGCGAGTGGAATATCATGAGAACCGGAATCGAAAATCGAAGCGAATCCGTGAGTTTTTCAGCCCAAAAACGGGAACAGGGAGCGGCGCGGAATTTCGATTAGGGTTTTCGGGTTATTAAATTGTTGGAAACAAAATATGATAAGGCCAAAAGTCCAGAGCTGAACACCGAGAAGCTCCAGACACTCACTAGCTCCCAATTACCGGACCCGCTTCCCATAATCCGCGCCGGAACGCTAAAAAGTGGATGGAATAGGGGGCGGGCTGGGTGAGATTAAAGGGAAATGGAGACGCCTTGAGGTGTATTACGCACGCATGCTAATGGTATATGCCCTGTTTTATGAGGAAATTACATTACCAATCCCCCTGGTAGAGGTTGTCATATTATTTAGGAAACATTCGCTGACTAACAGGATCTAGCCCATAAAGAGCGAAGTAAAAATAATCCTAGGCTTGGCTAAGCTTAGCTTTAGCTTGGAATCGACTTGGCTTAGGTTAAGCCTGGCTGAGGCTTGGCTTTCACCTAGATTTAGCTGCCACTCAGGCTTATGCGAGCGATGGCCGTGGATAGATTCTGGCTTAGTAAGGATACCCTCCCCAGCTCGAAGTTCAACTCTCGGCTAGCTAGATAGCGTATCAGCTGCCGCTTTTTTGCCTGATCACGATCCCGATATGGGTTTGCCTAACCATAGGAACACCATGAAAATCATTTTACAACGATTGTATATTTTTGCATCGGTGGGCGTGATCCGCCCGATGGCTCAAGCCTCTTTCCGGTGGGAGGCACGAATGGGTGGCATGGTAAAATGGCAAGTACATGGTCTAACAATCTAGGGGTCAATAAGTCCGAGCCTTGGCGCTGACGGCTTCTTTGCTTTTCGGATAACACGTGCGGTGATAGGCCATATGGACGCCCAGAAAAAATTTTCTGGTTCTTTTTGGCCCATTTGTCTGCAATCTGAAGTATTTTTGGCAACAACACAGCATTAATATCATAATGATTATCAGTAATTGTACCATTAGAAATTCTCCTTCCTACCCCGGAGCGGATAAAGTCTGCATAAAAATCGAGCGTAACCAAAGTCTAATAATTCCTCGTCGGAAACTCAAAAACATTTTTGAGCAAGCACTACAATACGATGATGATGATGGACACCTCGATAATTGGAAATTTCTTCCACCAGAAAGAGTAACACTAAACGTAAAACCCCAAGCGAACCGGACCAACCGAGTAAAACCGATAAAATTTTTTACCGGGCGTTGATATGGCCCTCACAGCAAGCGCTTATCCAAAGTGCAAAAGCCGTCAGCGGCAAGAGTCTCTCGGAACTAGTGACCCCTAGGATTGGTAGACCGGGCAATCTTGCCGACTACACCATGCCACCGATGGATGCCCCCCTCTGGAAAGAGGCTTTGAAGCCTGTAGGGGCGGACCACGCCCAGCTAGGCAAAAAATACACAATGAAGTTTGAAATGATTTTTCATGGTGGTCCAAGGGATTTGGGCAAAAATAAATATCGGGATCGTGATCAGCGCGAAAAAACGGCATCTGATACGCTATGCCTAGCTAACCGAAGCTGAACTCTCGAGCTGGGAGGTATCCCTTGTTAGGTTTAGGTTTAGACTCTGGCTTAAGCTTGGCTACATGTCGCTTTCACCTTAGCTTGGGTTTCGGGACGATGGACCAAATAAATTCCGAAAAAAAGTGATGGGGCGCGCCGGATGTTCATTTTTCGTTTACATTCCCAGATCCAAAAAAACCAAACCAGAGACAGGGTTGGTCGGGCAAGGGTCAGCCTGTCCAGAGTCCGTCTGCGTCCGACGTGTCCGTCCGCGTCCGCTAGTGCAAATACGCATTGCGACGCTACGGTCCGGACGCGGATCGGACGCGTCCCGGACGTAACGGACGGCGACAGATCCGCCGGACGCCGGAAGGTCCGCGATGCAAAAGCACAAAAAGCGGATGCCAATTACAGGTGTCCCTGGCTTAGGGAAAGCGTAGGATCATAAT